TTTGTAATTACAAGATACTAACTCATACACAATGACAAATGACAAGATCTTTTGATTAATAATGACAATTGAGTAAAGGAAGTCGAGAGCTGTAAACAGAGACAGCTCGCCTTCAAAGTAAAAGTTGGGTGTTTTCAAACGTCTTTGCTCCAGCGATCAATTTAAGGAGAGTGTTGGAGCAATTTATTTGATATTGAATTTTGTTATTTCATTCAGAGAGCTTAGAACAAATATTATCAACAATGAACATAATATATAACTGTTACAAAGTCATATTTCTGCCACTCTTCCACAATTGAAGGTGAATAAACTGCAGGTGAGCGGAAACACTGAATTATATGTATGTAATGATTCATTATATTATCAACTTATTTATTTAAATAAATGCTTCTTAAACTATTTGGGTGAATGTTTCAGGCTGTAGTGTTGATACTTGTGATGAGAAAGAGTTGATTTATGTTGAACTTTGACTTCATAGCTGGATCTGTTGTCATGACAATGATGCTATCCCATGTAAAATCCTTCAAGCTTATTTACTGTTTGTACCTTTAACTATTCAACATAAAATAAAATGAATGAATAATAAAAATATTTTTGCAGGATCATCCTCTGGGCTTGAACATCGTGACTTTCCACAGCATAAATATCACTCCTTGTAGAACATTGTCTGTGCCAACCCTTATTTTAATAAAACAAAATTTCACTCTTCAATTTTCTTTACTTTTATGAAATTACAAACGTTTTCTACTGTACTTTACTTTGTTTGCTGCCTGTTGGCATCATGGTAGCATGGATTTCACGCCAGCCAATCAATTCCTTCCATCAAAAAAAACTTTATTTTAGACTCTTTTGCCATCTATCATTAAGTAGTACTAATCAATATTATTGCAGTGTCCTTATTAAATTACATTTACATATGTTGAGGGCTGAGTAAGTCTACGACTACTATTATTTACTCAACCCTCAACAATATATTGTAGTATGAAGAAACAAAATTTAACAGCACCACAAACATCCTCCAAAATGACAAACAGTTGAATCAACACCTCTCTTTAGAAGGGAGGATTTATTGCAGGACTGTTGTATTATACTGCATTAGTTGTAGCTCAGTGTACCTAATTTAATTTAATATCCACCTGTGTGTTGTACGTCCAGTCACATTCACACAGTGTAACCCGTCAGCTCTGGAGAATCTCTACACACCTCAGTGTCAACTTTCTCTGGGCTCAGCATCATCCTGCAGTGATTAACACGCAGCAGAGACACTGCTCACTGCTACATACTGTCTCTGCTATGCATTGAACATGCAGGTTTACACTGGAAAGCCGATTGGAGGAGCCCCACAGAAGAATCAGGGCATGAGGGTTGTGCTCAACATGGCAGAGGGTATCAGGGGGCAGAACATTACCTGTGACAAGTTTTTCACATCCTACAACCTGGGTCAGGAACTTCTGAAGAGAAAGCTCACAATGGTCGGGACTGTCCGATAAAACAGATCTGAGCTCCCTGCCGAACTGTTGGAGATCAAGAACAGGGCTCCCCAGTCGTCCAAGTTTGTCTTCACAGACACCACAGCCCTAGTGTCTTACTGCCCCAAAAAGGGAAAGAATGTTGTGCTCATGAGCACTCTCCATAGAAATGCTGAAATCAGCACCAGAGAGGACAAGAAACCAAGCATGATTCTTGATTACAATGCCACAAAAGGGGGGGTGGACAATTTGGACAAAGTAACGGGGTCCTACAGCACCAAGAGAATGACTGGCCTTTAGTCATCTTTTATAATATAATTGATGTATCGGCCTACAATGCGTTCGTCATCTGGACGGAGATTTTTCCTCAGTGGAACGTGTCGAAGCTGTACAACAGGCGCATCTTTCTCGAGGAACTTGGGAAGGCACTCGTGGTGCCGCACATACAACGGAGACAGCACATACCGAGGACCCCAGTCACTGCAGCCACAGTGAGGGAGATCCGGGAGAGAAGTGCACCCAGTACACTAGTGTCTGAAGTAAGTAATTGTGTGTGTGCATGCATGTGTGTGTTTCAGGGGATCAGGAGAAAGACATAGTAAAGTAATCATTATCTTTATCTTTCTAGGTTGCTGCTGGGTGAAAAAGGAAGAGGAAGAGGTGCCAGGTCTGCCAGCCATCTGATGACATCAAGACGAGCACAACATGTGCGACATGTGCAAAATGTATTTGCACAAAGCACACCGTGACGACATGTCACTCGTGTGCTGTGTAGACACAGATACACAGACAAACGCATACAAACACACACACACCTCGTTCATTGTGCTCATCACTTGTTCATTTTTGTAAATGTCTGTTTCTTAACACTATAAATGAACATAAATAAAGTTTACTTTCAATACAAATCCTTATGACTCATTTGGCTTGATTTTGAGTGAGTAGGTCAATATGACCCTGAACATCAGAGGTGTCTCATCTCTATTTATCTACATCACCCCATGAAAAAAAGAAAGTTTCAAAATGTAAAAAAGATTTCGAAAAAAATACATGTTATGGTAGACTAATGCAATTTATATCTAGGTTTTTCCAATGTACCTAAAAAATAGTTTGAACATGTATTTTTTAAGAAAACGAGTGAGTTATCCGAATTGAACTGTGATCTATGGAGGGGTGAATAACTCCATTCCACTAAATACTGATTGAATTGTTAGTAATGGTGTTGGTGATGAGGTACAAACTATAGTTATTAGGATTGTTTGGTTTCTGACAACTTTTGGATGATTAAACATGCACTGGGTCACATTGACCCGGGAACATCATTGCTGTACCTAAAAAACGAACATAACAGGAGGGTTCTCTTCAAGGAACAGTGTGTAACATTTAGGGGGATTAGTTGGCAGAAAAGGAATATATTATGCATAACTCTAGTGTATAATGACCTGAAACTAATAATCGTTGTGGTTTATTTAGCTTAGAAAAAGCCATTTATATCTAATTAGGGAGCGAGTCCTTTTCCACGGAGTCCGCCATGTTGCACCGCCATGTTTCTACAGCAGCCCAGAACGGACACTGGCTCTGGTGAGAGACGTTTGTGTTTTTGCATTACCTAAAAGGTAGGGATGGCTACTGAGACTCGGTATTAAACGTGCCCCGGATTATTAAAAATCAGAGTATTGATAAACTCTGACGTTACTGGTGCTTTTTATTTGTACTTTTTAATGGTTAGGTGTAATTTAATATCACACTAAAGTGAGCATTTCCACTACTTTCTCTGTGGGGCTGAGCTCCTCCAACTACACATAGACACAAACACACACACGATGCATCAGTGAGCAGAGAGGCGGGACGGTGGTCCCTGAACCAGGTGAAGTGAAGAATACTTGATTTGACGGCAACTTCGCTTGTTACTGCAAAAAAAACATTTGCAATTAAAAGCCAATCATTTATCAATACACCTGTTCCACAACCACGAACATGTAAACAAAACCTAATTCAATTGGCCGCTCTCATCCACTATACCCTAACCCGTTATGTTTACACAAACACAGCACATGCAATCAGCCAAAAGCTTTTTTTCTCCTCTTTTTTTTTTTACAAACAAGCTAAAGTGAAGGCTGTCTGTCTGAAGTTTACTGTTTATCTTAGTTTGTTCTTGTAAACTTCTCTACTGGCTGAGACAAAGCAGACAGGAGGACAGAGGACGGGAGGAGTGACTGATACTATCTAATGTCTGTGTTCCTCATTATTATTATTATTTATAAACTTTACTCAGGAGGTTTCCAGTGAAATATTAATGACGTTATAGAGTGACTTTGCTGTTGTAAACATTACTGTTATAATTAATTTCTAATCCTGTTCTGAATTTATTTGTTTTTAAAATTCTATATATGCTTTAAAAGCAATAATTTGTTATGAAAAAGAACAGAGTATTGATAAAAGTAGCTCTTTGCAGTAAAACCTAAAAATACCTATCACGACCTGAAGGCCACCGCAGATCTCCAATAGGCTTAGAAGGGGGGGGGGGGGGCTGAGCTGAGGGTCATATTGTTGCTTGCTATCTGCAACCTCACCACTAGAGGCCACTAAATCTCACGCACTGTTCCTTTAAGTTGATTCAAAGTTAGAAACAGTTTTTTCTTCATCTTGAAGTATGCCTTCATGCCACACTGAGTGAAATATTCAAACCCAAGCTCCCACATTGTTTTGGCTGCACCCTCTCATCAAATGGAAATATTAACTTGGTGTGCATTATTTTAAACAGACTTATATGGCTAGTATATGTGAACATTTTGAGCAGCGGCCATCTGCAGAGTGTTGGTGTGAACAGCGGGGACAGCGGTTACCTGGAGACACCTGCATTACGACACTCTGCTGCCATCTTCCCTTGTAACCTGATTACTGTTTGGTTACCACTTCACACTGACGGGGCTGTTTAACTGAAAACCAAAAATTCTATTTGGCAGTAGCTTTCAACAGCTGTAGTTTGACTAACATCCATCAGCGCCCTGTGAAGAGGACTGCAAGATTGTGTGGAGTACATGAATTTCTTGTAACCAGCAAAAAAAAACAACTTGAAGATGTCTTAGTGTACACATTCTACATACTGCTAGTAGTAGTAATAGTAATGTTCTTACATAAACTTAAAATACAGTGCTAAGAGGGAAAAAACACACAACAGGAATATAATAAACACAACATTTGATCAAAATCTATTGTAATAAACCATGTGATGTTGAATAATTCTAATGACATTTAGACATCACAGTGGATGTTATTTAAAAGACCAGTGTTATCGAATGATTCAGCCTGTCGTACAAATCGAGTGTACTACTTCCGACGAATATATAGGGTTTTTTATAATTGTGTTTTTTTTTAAGCTTTTGTCTTCCATTTACTACTAAAGTCGAAAAACGTGAAGACACCTACCATTTAAAAGGATACAGCTCAATTAATAAGAATTTTCAGATTTTTTTTAGGTAATGCAATACATATTTTTCCAGATTTAGGACCAGTGTTGTAAAGAAACCACTATGGCTTTTGCAGGTTTTCCAGAAACTCCTCTATTTCTCTCCACATTGGGTTCCTGCGTGTACTTTTTATCTTCTCCAGAATTTTTATGCTGTTCCTACGATAGTAGGATTGATGCGGTATCTCTGCCGCCTTCATGTGATATTTTATTGACTTGTTGTGATCCTGTCGATCGTAGTTTAAATACTTTGCGTAGTTGTTGTAAACCAGCTGTTTGTCTGCAGGTTTCAGATCAATTTCTAGCAGTTCCTGGTACATCTGCTCAGCTTTAGCCTGGCCATGATTGGACTTCGCGTATATGTTTGCGAGGTCTACTTTGTTCACAAATGAAGAATGGGGGTAAAGAGAAACCACCTCCTTATGGAGACTGATTGCTCTGTCTATCATGCTTTGCTTTGGGCAACTGTCGCTGGAAAGAATGATCTTCCATTTGTAGTAGAGTGCGGCACATCTCTTCAGACAACGCTCATCTGGATGTTGTTCCAGAGCCTTCTCTGCCAAATCAATGGCCTCATCAATAGCTACATAGTGTCTGTAAACCCATAGTAGGTGGTGGTGCAGCCAAGCCAGGTTCCCGTAGTTCACCACTAACTAGGGACTCTGGGCGTCTTCGGTGAAGCCCAGCTTGTACTGAATGAACCCCCTCAGGTTGTAAATGTGACCCAGCCAGCTGTTTCCCTCCTCCGTGCCCATGTCCACCAGCTTGTCGCTGAGACGTAAAAAATTGGTCTTGCTGGGGTCCAGATCCCAGGTAAAGTGGCACTGCAGGGCCT